ATGTAAAAAGAAAAGCACCTGTTCGTAAACGGTCGGCCCACGTTCGTGTTACTTAAACTAAGTTAGCTATAGCGTACTTTAGAACAGGTCAAGGCGCAGTTATCTTCAAGTACTTATATCAAGGCTCTATGTATCTCCATTGCAGAAATTTGTTAAACTCGTTCCAGCGAAGTTCTTGATAGGTGCAAAGAGCGGCACTAACTTGCAAGCAATTAGGTGCAAGAGAAGCACTGAAGCATTTGCATACGGTTAATTCTTGATAGTCATTAGGAGAGAGTCTCCTTGTTCTTCCTCGATGCGTTTGTACTTTCCTCATTTCTCTGCCTCTCAGAGCGGAACGTAACTCTATGCTCTCTGGTAATTATTGCTCGTCTGGATAGGTACTATCCCCCCTCTTGTAAAAACAATTTAGAATCACCCTGTATTTGAACGCTATCTTTTCCCAATATTCATACATCGGATTTCGAAGTAAAATTTGCGCTGCCTTGGGGTCGCATTTCTCAACAAGATACATTTTCAATACTCAAATACTTGAACGAAAGATATAATTTTACATTGCTGTAATCAGTATTACTTCTTTAAAAATAAGACTGAAATATAATTTGCTGTTGTCTTTCGTTTTACCAAAGGTATTATTTTAGAATTCTAAATCTTTATAGACCTGTTCTTTTTTACATACCAGATACATGCATGAGTAAATTCAATTCGGATTTTTCACATATTTGAAACTTTTAGGATACCAGTACATGAGAATTTCCCAGAATTAAGTCAAAACCTGAAAATATTAAACTTCAATTTTTCCTGTTGTTACAACGCTAAAGCAAAATTAAAAATTCTCATTACTCAAAAGGAAATTAATCAAATAAAGTCACAAATAACAAAATTACCTCCCAAATTTTTTATTCCAATTATTTATTTTTTTTCGCATCTCACAAATTTTTTATTGCAAAACGTAATCGGCAATTTTGTAATTTCAAACCATCATTACAATTTACAAAACACTAAACACAAGGTAGTCACTTCAGCTTCAGGCTTTACTCACTGTATTTGGAAATGCAAGAGGATGGGATTGAGGTGACTCATGTTGCACTTCGCTGGGAAAAATTCGAAACGCAGGTCATAACGGGAAGCATATGCGAGTCTAAATATTGTATATTGGGGTGGGAGGGATGACCAATTGGCTTCGCGTGTTATGACTGCCCATAAGAGAGGTAACTTACAACTGCCTAATTCCCCCCTGACTTAGACGGTCACGATTCTCGAGATACCTATTAAACAAGGTATATGTTGCAACTTATGATTCAGTTCAAGGTGCATTCGTCATCCAAGACTTAGTTTTCTCGGGTAGCAGTTTGTGGGAGGGGGCTTTTAACAGTTTTACATCCATTCTTGTTGTAATATGCAGTTTATAACTGTCAACCAAGACATTTCTATGCATTTATCAATGTGCAAGTTTATCCTAAATGGCAGAAAAGGATAGGAGCAGAGAGATTTACTCCATTCTTATATATAAGTTAAATCTTAGCTGGTTCTTTTTTTATTTATTTATTTTTTTTTTTTGTCCAAAGAGGCTTTGTCCCTGAAGGACTATTGTTTTCGTTTTTGCGATTTTGCATTGAATCACTATAAATCTCCGTTTCACTTTTCAAACTGTTGCCACCCAATGTTAGAGTCTTGCATTATATTTGAAGAAAATAATAATGAAAAATCTGCATAAATGTATGTATATTTCTCGCATTGTGATAAAACAATGTACATAGATCCATCGAATTTTGAATGACGTAATCCTACTGCGAATATGGACATGTGGAAGACCAAATTTGAAATTTGGAATTTGTTTTATGATCGATTTCATATTTTGTAAAACTTTAACGAATTTTTTATTAACAAACTCAAGGATTTCAAAGCGAGCATTGGCAACACTCTACGGGGGGCGGGAGGAAACCCTTTTTATTTCCAGTGCGCGGGACTGTGTTTCGGAAATTCTAAAGATAGGCTCATTTTTAAAATTATTTTGCGACATTGCTATTGAACTGAATTTTGTGGTTTAAGTGCAAAGAACATGATATTTAATAAATAAAAGTAACACGCATAACGTTAAAAAACGTACCTTTGGGCGTAATGTAAAACCTGAATGTTTTAATTTTTTTTTTTTTTTTTCCCTAAGTTAGAAACTGATTTGCAATTTTAATGAATCAATGTTAATGAAGGCTAATATGTGTTCTTTTGAACGGTGTCCAGTTTGCGTAAAGGTGCAAGAACCTTTTCGACGGGTCAGTGTTATGAAAGCGTCCAGAGTGAATCATAAAATAGCAAGTGGTACATTGGTTGGTAATGGACTATGGCGGAATAAAAAAAACGTATCTGCCTGAAGTACACCTAAAGCAAAACATATATGTGACACATGAATTCTTAAGAAATCTTAACAGTTTCTACTGAATCACGATATCCCCCCCAAAAAACTTTATGTTATTAAATAATATGTAGTATTAGTTTACCAGTTATTTATAATTTAAACCTTTACTGTTATAACTTCTGTTCTTCTTCTTTTACGCTTCCTTAGAAAAAATAGAAACCGGTTAAAGAGTATTTAATTCGAGCGTTTAGCACTGCAAGACAGAGCATGTTTCTGCCTCTCGAGGCCACGTTACTAGGTTTCGGCAGTTCTGCTAAGACTGTAATTCTTCGGCTTCGCTGCCGACATTTAATTGCTACACCGGTCAGAAGTTCTGAGCCAACATAGAGTTAAAATCAATTGTATAGGCCTTAATTTAGTTTAGCTATTGAATTTGACTGTTACTTGAAAGTTACTTTGCTACAAGTGGTGGTTGTTTTGTTAAGCACGAGATGTGTGTTTATATTCAAGTTACGATTTTAATAAAAAGATTGTTTTAACCTTCCCAAGTCTCTGTCATTAAACCAAAGAATGTGAAACAGTATAAATGAGAAATCTAAAACGAGAAATGTATGTATGTTTCCTGCGAGGAAATGTATGCATGTTCCTCGCATTGTGGATAAATGGCTTCACTTAGATCCACTGAATTCGGAACACACAGGTCCTCCATCTGAACATGTGCTCCTCAAAGCTCGATAAACTTGATTTTTGGATTTCGTTTTTTTATTTATCCTATACTTTGCACGAATTGAATGGAATTTTTATTAATAAAGTCAGCGTTTTAAAAACAATGTATTTACGTCAGCGTTTTAAAAACAATGTTTTAAAAACAATTTAAGCAAAAAGCTCAGCGACTTAAGTGCAATGTGTTGCCACGCGGCGAAACGTGAGATATTTGTCTTTCAAATTTAATCGAAAAACCAATGATTTGAGAAAAATGAATTGCCACTATTTGAAATAAAACATTCTCATCTTCCACGAGTTAATGTGTTGCCATTCGGCAAAGAGTAGGATATTTAATTTAAAAAAATTAATCTGCCTATTACTGATTAACAAACTAAGCGTTATAAAAGCAATAAAAATTACTCTTTAGGTGGTTTCGTAAAAGTTATTATATATGTGGGTGTCTTTCTACTTTACTTTAAGAATGACACCAATGTTAAGATTTAGTATTTTAATGAAAAAAAAAAAAAAAAGAAACATAGAAGAATGAAAAGAAGTAAGATACAAATTTAGCTCCATAGCATAGGGTGGCATCACAATAGTGGTAATCCTCACAATAAATGGGTTTGAAAGTCTCTTAACTACCACGTAACAGTTTTTAGGATCCGTTAGCCACGTTGCCGTCGTAGCATCTCTCACGCGCAGAAGTGGAGAAGTCAACTTATCACACAGCTTCGAGAATCATCTAGCTTGCTGTAGCTGTTGCCAGATTTAGGAAGGAGGAAGGTTGAGTTGTAGGAGCGAATTACCACACGGCCATTCTGCCTTGCCGAGCGTCCTCGCCTGGGGGTTGATCTGAAAAGAAAGAAAAAAAAAAAAAAGCAAAAAGCAGAGAAAATGAAAACAAAAATCAATGTCTAGGTAGCGGATGTTAGCTTTGTGCACCACCGGTTCATCTTATCAGTACAGGTTGATATCATAATGGTGTCATCATGGCGTATCTTTCGTACTTCGTAATAATCAGAGGGATGAACTGTCTCATAAGGACCGAAGAATTTGGGACGAAGTTTAAGTCCAAGTTTCAGTTCAAGTCGAAGATTCAGTCCAAGTGGAAGTTTCAGTTCAGGCTGGATTGGCATTTTGGTGTCCAAGTTTGTATTTGCAGGCAAGGTTTGCGACGTTTTTCTTATACTGTCGTATATGTGCTTGCTGTAAACGGAGGAGGTTCCGTTGAGCTTCAATGCATAATAATGCAGCTTTTTCTTCATCATGCTGTGTCAGCAATTTCATTATCTTTGAAGTTCGTTTAAATTTTCTTCGTTTATACTTCCAGGCTCTCTTTTTGCGTTTCTTTGGGCTTGAAGCAGATAAAATGTTTGAAACAGTAATTTTTCGTCCAAGTATTTCAGCATTCTTTTTTGCCTCAAAAGCTTCAACTGGAATGTCAGAGACAAGTAGTTTCCTTGGATTATTTTTTTGTTCTTTGGGAATTTCTGCACTTTTAGCAGGTGTTTTCTCGTTTGCTTGATTAGCACATGCTTGTTCAAACTGATTCAGTAGATTTTTCACAGTTTCTTCAGTGGTGGTGTGGTGTATTTAATTATGGCAAAGCACACGAGGGCTATCTGCCTAAAGGGAGGGATGCCTTTCGTGGAGGACTTTCTAAGGGAAACTGGCTCGTATACACGTTACACATGGGGAAAACCACGAAAACGCCCATGCAGCCAGCCCGTTCGCGGGATTCGAACCTCAGACCGAACTACCAGTGTTCAGCGTCTTTACCGCTCGGCCGCTGGTGGGCTCCAATTTCTTCAGTATTCTGCACGTTTGGATCATTATCAACATCATCATCATCATTAGCTTCATGACTGTCATCATCATCAACGTTGTCACCAGCATCATCTTCATTGACATGAGCTTCATCAACAACAGCAACGTCATCTTATTCAACATCATTAAAATCATCTTCATTAGCTTCATGAGTGCCATCATCATCATCAGCACCATTAGCGTTATGATTGTCGTCATCATCAATATCATGATCTTGATCCATGTCGTCGTCTGCGTCATCACCATCTTCATCAACATCATCGTCATGAGCTCCGTGATTGGTATCAGCATCATCTTTGTGATCGTGATCGTCCAAATCCAAATTGTCATCATCTAAATCCAAACTGTCATCATCTAAATCCAATTCTAAATCGTCATGTGCAGCAGCATCATTTTCCTTACGTGTTTTCTTCAACTGATTTTCACTTTTTGTTATTTTCTGAAAATCTTCCATAGCAGTGTTAACTTCGTGTGGTTGGTGAGGAGTAATGATATGTTGAACTTCGAGAATTTCCGATTTGGAGATGTGTGAAAGATCAGGTGGAAATGTGTGATCATGAGTAACATTAGCAACATTAACAAAAATTTGATCATTATTATTGTTGCATAAATGAATACCATCTTTATCAAATGTAAATCGAGTTTGTTGCAAAAAGTCTATTCCAATAATGGCATCAAGAGGAATCATATAGTTTTTTACTACATGGATTTTAGCAGGTAAAATAGTGTTTTCAATTTGAATGTAGTCCTGAAAGAATCCAATACTTTGAACTGTGTCTCGGCCAAGTCCTGAGAATGTAATTCTGGAAGGATGTAATGGTGGAGAACCAATTTTGCGGTATGTTTTCTCCGTAATAAGTGTTGCTTGTGATCCAGTGTCATAGAGAGCAGTTAACTGAGTTCCTTTAAGTTGAATATCAACATGCATAGGATTTTTTAGAAAAATTTTGAGCAGAAAGTGCATTTACAGTACTATCAGATGTAGAACAATTAGCAGATTCCGTGGTAGAACTACCAGAACGTTTGGGACAGTTGGAATGAATGTGACCATAATTTTGGCAGCCATAACAGAATTTGCCATTAGATTTATTAGGACAAGTATTGCTTTTGTGACCTTTTAAACCACAGGAATAACATACTGGTTGAGTGTCTGATGTACGTTTAGCATCAATTTTAACATTGGGAAAGGAATTTGTAAATTTCTTTGGAGTATTTTGCTTCAAATTTTTTGAATTGTTAAAGAGTTTTTCATAAATCTTCAGTTTTTTTTTAAATTCAGGAATGGATTTACAACCGTATAAAATTATTTTATTGTTTGATGAATCAGGAATACCATTGATAACATAATCAATCAAAGAAGAATCATCCATAGAACCTTTGTGTGCGAGGTCTCTCATAGCTAAAAAATATTCTTGTAAAGGTTTCAGATGTTTTCATGTGACGAGATTCCATTATTTTATGTAATTGAAGGCTATTAATTTTTTATCCGAAAATTCATCTAATAAATGGTGTTTTTGTTTTAATTGTTCCCAATTAGTAATTCCACGAATTGATCTAATTAATGTTAAAGCTGGACCTGTAAGACATTTTTTAACAAAAATTACTTGGTGTACAGGATTCGTGATTTCATAGAGATTAAAAATATCTTCTATGTCAGAAATAAAAGTTTTCAACGCTGTAATTAATTATCCCGAGAGGAAAAGGGTTTGATCAAATCAACAATGTCCTTTAAGCCAAAACATTGAAACGGAACAGTCTGTGTTTGCGGGTTAGTCGATACCAATAAATTTGCAGGCGCACTTTCAAGAGAGATTTTTGCCTCCATTTGTTTACATAAAGAGTCATCTGGAGTGTGATTAATGGCTGTTTGGGCGACGCTATGCGTCGAGGGTGAACTTTGCACCAAAGCGTCTTCTTCAAGGTCGCTGTAGTCAGCGGAATCTGATTTTAATAATGAGACATCAGCTAGAATTACCACATATATATTTATTCTTTTTATAATAACTATATTAGGCGGCTGGCCTAAAATGGTTCTAGAAAAGTATAGTGACAATGAAAACAGGAATACGTCTGCACAACTTAACCACCAAGAAACTATTTAGAAACTACCAAGTTCGGCCACCAAGAAATTGAAGCTAGGGCGAAATACCAGTGTTAAGTAAGTGACTTTAACAGACTGGCCATGCGTAAGTTTTATATAAGAAGGGAAAATTATTTCTACAATAAAATTAGTTATTTGAAATTGACTATTCAAATTTATATACATATTTGGAATATAATTTTATACATTATAATTTTTATAGAATATAAATTTTATATAGATAATATTATATATAAATTCTATATGTAATGTTATATATATATAAATTACTTCTCTAATTATATAATACATATTGTTACGGATTTTGAATTTAGTTGGCTACTTTCAATAGAATTGTAATTAAAATTGTTTTATTTCCCCCGTGCAACGCAGCGCGTGACGAATATTAAGAGAAAGCTACGCCGGAAAATTAAAAATACAAGAGCACGTGAATTTAACATTTAATAAACAAATATCTCTTTTAATTTATATTTAATTCAAATAAGTGTAATTGACTAGTGTGTTAGCCGTAACAGTAATTCTACCCTTTTTTGTTTTCCAGAAATTGCTAGAACTATCTCTCGTGACCGATTTAAAAAGCTATAAAAGCCGGTGAGAAACATCTCAGCTCGGTAGTTGTTTAGATAACTGTTACTTGTTGATTGCAGCGAATTCGAGATGAGATCGGATTTTCCTCGCTTTGGATTGCGTTCTATTTAATGTTTTAGTAATTTAGAATGTAGCTCATGAGTATTTTGCGTGATTCTGCGATATTGTACGAATTTCTTTGAGAAAAAATCCAGGTGGTACGAATAAATTTTATTTACTTTTTATCAGACTTGTGCATTCAATCTATTACGAACCCGTACGCTCGCAACAATATAATTAAAGAAGTAAATTCTTCTTTTGTACAATAACTTCATTAATCTTAATTATAGTATATTATTTCCAGTATGTATTGCTCGCTAACGGTCTATATAAGATAATATGTAAGATATAAGTTTACATAGGAGATTGCAGCATCAGTAGATATTAGTGTAATTAAAGAAAACAATACAGTAGTTTATATAGGAATAAAACTGAACGTTTTTTTTAATGGCCGAGCGCTTTATTTAATAGCCATTAGCCTTCCGACACTACAAGGGTCGGAAGTGTTGGCCATTTCACTATGGAAGCCCTTAACAAATGGCTATTGTTGCCTGCTATGAAGGAACAGACAGTTATAACCATGCCTTTTACGGGATTTGAACCCACTATGACAGATTCGAATCGCTATGACCAGTCAGGGTCATTAAAAACTATACCGGCTGGGTGGCTTTCGTAAAACTGAATGTTAGGCGCAACATTTAAAAAGTAGCTAAAAATTAGTTAATGATCATGGTAGTGTTAAAAATAATCATTATAATTGTTAGAATCGCAGTGCATTTAAATGAATTACATACAGCAAAAATCTAATTTTAAAAGCTAGCAGTGCAGAGGAATTGTTTGATTATTTGAAAGATATCAGTGCTTAAAAAGTTAATGGCTAGAGTTGTAGAGTTCCTCACTTTGTAAATGCTCAGTTGAACGTGAAGAATCTTAAGAACTAATAAGCGAATAATCGCTTGAGTTCGTGACAAGAAACAACAAGATGGAAGGGTAAATAACCCTTTATTATTCAAATAAGATTTAACAGAACTCCGTCTTGGAGTGTACAATAAAAGCCGACACTGGGACTTGAACTTAAGAGGCTAAGAAGTAAACTAAAACTAATGTAAAACTAAAGAGATATAACCGAAGCTATCAAGATTCTAACCAAGTTGGCCCCTTAACGCTGATTGACTGCGAAGCTATCAAGGGCCTAAAGTACAGCGAAGCGTAATAATAGAGTATTTACGAGAGAGTAGGCTAAAAAGGCGGAAGCGTGCAAACAGAATACCTGGTAACTCTCTCCCTAAGACCGAAGAACTTCGCGGTTAAATACCGCTCTTCCTCATTATGTATTCAGACGTGATTCTAAAACTATGTTCTGGCCGGAAATAGTAAATTGAAGTTAAGAATCGACAGGAAAGGAACTTTAACTTAAAATTTAACTGTTAATAAAATTAGCATAATCCTTACAGAGCGATGATCCTCAAACTTATCTGACTGTCATCACTTCTAAGGAATCATGATCTTTTTATCCGTACTTCTATTTGTTAATCGATAAAACTCTTTATGGACTTTCGATGAAAGATGTTTTGAGCTTGTAAAAACATATAAAATAACACACATTTTAGATCTAAAGTAACTTATATGCAATATAGCTCATTACAGGCATAGTGATTAAAGCCGCGTCCTCCAAGGACAGGAATAATCAGCCTGGTTCCTGCCGCCCACTAGTGGGTGATTTAAGCTTTAATAGTGGGCGGTAGAGACTTTAGTCTATCCGATGACGAAAGTTTTCTCCTGCGGGCAGCTCTTTCCTGTTCTGTATATTTATAAGGCTTTTCCACTTCTCTTAGGTGTTGTTCTGTGAGTATAGCGCGCATAATGGGATTATCACCTCTTAACAAAGCGTGAGGATGAGAAAAATGGTATCGATGAAAGAAACTAACCTCCCCTTTTCCTACCACTGAAGGTTTCGTAGCCAAAACTGTTTCACTGTCATCGATGTCTCAGTTGATACGCGGGATATAAATTTTCTGTCTCTGATAAATATAAAAAAAGTATAATAAACTAGCTTTACCCGCGGCTTCGCTCGCGTTGATGCCCTTAAATAAGTTTCAACTTCCCGTGAATTTTTAAAATACACTCCGCGTAAGATTTCAGTAATTACTGCCTTTTTTCAATACCTATAGGCACCGAATATTTCGTATTTACGCCTGTCCAAAGGATTATTTTAAAAAATAAAGAACATTCGAGCGCCTTAAAATGATAAAACAATAATCGTTATCGCACACAGTAAAATGTAAAAAATATATAATGTAAATGCAATTTCTCAAGCAACAATAACAGAAATTTATAAAACGAATGTATAGATAAAAAAATACGAAACAAAACATTAAATATATCACAGAATTCGAAATGTTGATAATTGTTTCAAATAAGTTACTTAAAAATCAAGTTATTAATTTTTAAATGATTTTCCGCGCGTAAATCCGTGAACTTTGACTTTTCGCCAACCCAACGGTCGACTGGATACCAGCTTCCCCCCTCTGTCGCTTTCAATTCGCAGCCTGTCAACAAAGAGTTAACAATAGCAAGCGGAGTATTGTTTCATCCGCGATTAAGCTCGAAATAATTAAGCGACAAAATCAGTTACACCACCAATGTTCCTCTCATTCAGAGTGCTACACAAGTTTCTAAATTTCGAGAAATTTGGATAACTAGATCAAAAGTAATTAAATTTTTAT